TGGCGGGGCACCGGGGCTTGGGGCTGCTGTCTCGCCACGGGGTCCTGTGGGAGGGAGGCGGGGGGCGTCTCTGTGGAGGCCCCGGTGGGGCAGCCCGGTAACCAGGCCCGGGGAAGACGCTGGCGGGGGGGAGGAAGGCCGCGGGCGAGGTCCCGTCACCCCCCCCACCCTTCCCCAGCCGCCGGTTCTGCTGGGGCTGTGTCACCGGTGCCTCCAGCCGCGGCTCGGGGGGAGGGCTCCGGGCAACCGGCACCCCAATGCTCCTTCCCCTCGCCGGCCGGCATTTCCCTGCTCCTTGAGGGGGGAGCCCAGAGCCCTGTGGTCCCCCAGGGGAAGGGGCAGATGCCTCCCCACTCCCCCCTTGCCCGGTGCCCGGGTGGCTGGGCTCTGGCCGGGTGGGGTGATGGGGAGGAGGGGGAAGGGGGCAGATGCCTCCCCGCTCCCCCGGTGCCCGGGTGGGGTGATGGGGAGGAGGGGGAAGGCTGGGTGGCACGGTCACCGGTGCCGCAGCCATGGCTTGTGGCCCTGCTGAGGGACAAGGGTTCCTCAAGGAGCTGGTGGAAAGCTCCACCCCAGCTCCATCCTGCAGGGCAGGGGACTGGGATGCCTGAGCAGTGAACATCATCCCCGGCCGGGGAGGAGGTGATGGGAGGAGGTGACAGGAGGAGGTGACGCAGGTGGCAAGCCCAGGGGTATTACCCCAAGGGCTGGCTGTGGGACACTGTGGCTGAGTCTTTCTTTTCTGGCTGTTCCTCCTAGAGGCACCCGGCAGTAGGTGTGAGGTGATCGAGCCTGGCTTGCACCGTAGGCCCGGCTCCCTGGCGTCTGATGATGAGTCTGACCCCCTCCAGGGGATGCCTCCTGGACCTGCCCTGGGAAGACATCTTGGTTCCACATATCCTCTGTCACCTGCCGCTGCAGCAGCTCCTCAGCCTGCAGAGGGTCAGCAAGTCGTTCCAGTCTCTCATCCAGCTCTACCTGGCCAACATGCGCTGCTTTGACTCCAGCCAGGTACTGGATGGCTCTGAGGCTGGAGGAGACACAGAGGTCCTACCGCTCTGGAGATAACAGGGGCGCATCTCACTATGTGGGGAGAAGGAAGCCCCCAACGAGGAGGCTGGTTTCTGCTCGGGAGCTGGGGTTAATGGCTGGGGTGCCAGACTGGACAGATGGGCTCGGGGGAGGAGAGGTGGTGACTCAGGGCCCAGCAATGCCACCGGCTTTAGCAAGAGGCCTTGGGAGGAGTGAGCCTGGAAGCTCCACCTCGGCCATTATGGGGCACCAGGTGGCAGAAACACAAGCCAGCTCCAGAGCGGCACGGCCTGTCGGTCCTCATGGAGGTTGTGCAAGAGGGTGGGTCTGATGAGAGAGAACTTTGTGCCTTGGTCTTGGGGAAAAGCTCATGTGGGCCCTCTTAGGGACTGCCCGGGACTTGGAGAGACAGGAGGAGCTGCTGTTCTGTGAGGGCACAGAGCGGTCTAGCAAAGAGTCTTTGGAGAGCAGAGGTGTGGAGCTCATCAGGAGTAGATAAACAAAGGGGTGATGACAGGGGACAGCAAGGCCAGAGCATCTTCTAGTTTGTGGCAATAGTGTTGGCATGAGGGGTGGAAAGCCTGATGGCATGGTTTGCCCTAGGATGAGAAGAGGGTGGCTTTGGTCACCTCTCCCAGTGGGCAAGAGGAGGGGAGAGAGAGTCTCTGGTGAGGATCAGGTGGAGCCAGGCTGATCTGAAACCCTGGGGAATGCCTCAATTCTTCCTGGGTTCCCCACGCAGATCGGACCTGCCATCCCTAGAGCTGCTTTCGTTAACCTGCTGAAGGACAACGAGGTACTGCAGCAGCTGGTGCTCCAGAACTGCTCCGAGTGGCTGACGGACAGGGAGCTGCTCCCGGTCATCGGGCAGAACCATCACCTCCACCACATCCAGCTGAAGGGCTGTGCCCAGCTCAGTCGCCATGCCCTGGTGGCCATCTCCTTGAGCTGTCCCAACCTGCGCTGCCTCTCCCTGGCTCACTGCGAGTGGGTGGACAGCCTGTCCCTGCGCAGCCTGGCCGACCACTGCAAGGTGCTGGAGGCTGTGGACCTGACGGCCTGTCGCCAGCTGAAGGACGAGGCCATCTGCTACCTGGTGCAGAAGTGCAGCAGGCTCAAGTCCCTGTCGTTGGCCGTCAACGCCAACGTGGGCGACGTGGCGGTCGAGGAGATTGCCAAGTGCTGCCCCGAGCTGGAGCACCTGGACCTCACAGGGTGTCTGCGAGTCAAGAATGACTCCATCAGGTACTGAGCGCCGTGGGGAGCTGGGGTGAGGACTGCAGGTATCTGGGGTTGGGAGAGGAAGAGGAACGGAGGGGAAAAGTCAGATTTTTCTGGTGCTGAAAGCAACGAGAGCTCAGTCTTGGGGAGAAGCCACTGGTAGGCCTTTCAGGAGAGGCACCACGTGCTACTAACAGCGAAATATGAGGAGAAACTTCTTCACGGTGAGGGTGACAGAACCCTGGAAGAGGCTGCCCAGGGAGGGTGTGGAGTCCCCTTCCTTGGAGATTTTCAAGACCCGCCTGGATGCAGTCCTGAGTAACATGCTCTAGCTCTAGGCAATCCTGCTTCAGCAGGGGAGTTGGACTAGATGATCTCTATGGTCCCTTCCAACTCTAAAAATTCAGTGAAATTCCCCAGCACATCGCAGAGGGTAGGTCTGGGATCCGACTGTGTCCCTTGAGTGTCTTTTCAGACCACCAGGGTGTTGTTCCCAAAAGGTGGTGTGTGTGTGGCACAGTCGTGAGCTCTGGGAGTAGAGAAGAGGGGATGTGATGCCCTCAGGAGCCCTGGCTTGCAACCTCCACGTGCTCTCTTTCTTGGCAGGGTCCTGGCCGAGTACTGTCCCAAGCTGCGCTCGCTGAAGGTGAAGCATTGCCACAACGTGGCCGAGTCCAGCCTGAGCATCCTCCGAAACCGTGGGGTGGAGCTGGACGTGGAGCCTCCCTTGCAGAGGGCTCTCGTTCTCCTGCAGGACGTGGTTGGCTTCGCCCCTTTCATCAACCTCCAGATCTAGAACTGCTGCTGCCAGGGAGGGGGCTGGGGTTGGGGGGGGACTGACGTGAGGCTGGGG